TACAATACATGTAAATTACACATTAATATTTCTGCTTTTCACTAGGCAGTTAGAAAAAAAATCACAACATTTCCCTGATTTGCAATTGAGATTGCTAAACACATTAGTATTACAACATGATTACACATTGTTTTTTAACTCTGCTTTGTAATCTTTCTATAATTGCCTCATTATATGAAATGTACTGTTCTCTGACCTAATGAAGGGAATTTGAATTGTTATGTGTATGAGATGAAAATAGTTTTTTTAAAACTGCAGTCCAGAATTAAAACTTAAACACTTGGACACAATATTCCTAAAAAGCTTAAATTTTTAAAATATTTCTTGTTTTTATAATATATTTAATCACATCTTCTAATCAGTCCTCAACCCAATTTCTCTTTCTTTATAAACATACTTCTTTATAAGAATAAAGTACAAGCAGTAATAAATGTTTGGTTATTTCAATCAGAGTGTTTAAACTATTAGTGTAAGCACTAAAAACTCTAGCTAAAATACTTTTGTAAGATTAGATTCTCAAGATTAAAAGCATAAAGTTGTACATTTTCTAGTGAAATCACAATATAGCTAACTTGAACAAAAGAGAGAGAATAGAAATCTGATTTTACTTTTCAATTGTCTATTTTTTGAAAAATACCAGAAAATCAGGTTCTCCCTAGGGAGGATTTAAAAGGAATCGTCATAATGCTGGCATTTTCATATTTGCAGCCAGAAGAACAATGCATTATTTTAATCAAGCATAAAAATTTCGAATCACTATTTTCAAAATAAGTATGAATTACAGTCACTGGGGCTAATTTTTCATAATTCATTGTATAATACCATATTCATGTATACTTTATAGATATTATCTAATACTAGCCTCTGAGTTTCATTTGAGTACTTATTGAACAGTAATTTGCTTGAATATATAGGGATTGAATGGCAATACATTACATTGCTTGATTAATTTTAACTGAAAAAATAAATGCAGGTAGTTTTACAATTAATGAGACAAAAACATTGCAAATCACTTCCAAGTAATTATAATTGACTCTTTCCATTCTCATTTGCCATCATTACAGGAAGCCTCTTTGGTTTATAAAGCCATATTAGAATTATCTGTTTGTTTTTCAAAATTTGAGGGGTTGAGAAAATTTTATTTTTAGAAATTATTGCAACATATATGGCTTTATATTTTAAATAACATAAAAACTTACATAAAATTTATATTTTTTGAGGTAAACAAATAGCTGTTCATATATGAACTCTACTGCAACACTCATGCATTTCATAGTGAAAGATTCTCTCAAGTTTAGAAATGTTCCCATGGCACCAAGCTAGAGGGCAATTCAAAATCAAATTAACATGCCAAAAAATAACTCCAAACCATGAAAATATTATAAATTAGTAAAGAAGCTAAAATTATTAAGGGGTTTTTATTATTCTGAAATCTCTTTCTGCATTCTTATTAAATCTTTATGGACATTTCCTCTTCTGATTTAATAAAACTATCTGATTCACGAGACAGAACTAATATTATATCCCGCAAATGAAAATATTGATGAGCACATTGTAAAACACAATTCCCTGGTTTTGATCTCTGGTAACTTAAGTTTGTTTTGACAATGACGAAATCAATTTCAAGTTCATTCAGGAATGTGTGTACTTGCAATTTTCAACAAACTGAGAAAGTATTCCTTTAGTTTGTTTGTTTGCCTGGCAGTAGTTGAGGTGCCTGCCATTCATACACTTGAATCACTCATAATTATGCCCTGAGGGAACATAACCTAGATTTTTTTTTTCTTTAATGCTCCCAAATTCTATTTTCACTACTGATAAGAATGGTAAGAAAACACCACTCTTTAAAAAGTAAAATATAAACATATATACATATATATGTGTGCATACTAAATACTAAAGAAAAGTAATAAAATGAACAATTCTGCACTAGTTTCACTTTCCCCATTACATCCTTTTCCTTCCCATCATCTTTCTTTCCCTTGGAGGTAAGAATCATCTAGAATTTTGTATTAATCATTTCTTTTTTTTCCTTTATACTTTTGCCATCAATGTAGGTATTTCCAAATAGCATTATTTTTTTCAATTTTGCCAGCTTTGAGTTTGAGATAACACTGTAGAGTTTGTCAATGGTGGTTCAATGTTTTTGGCAAACATGCATGTTATTGTCAGTAGCTGATATGATTCATTTTCCCAACTGTAGAGTAACACTAACATAGAAATATATATATATATATATATATATATATATATATATATATATATATATATATATATATATTCCTACCTATTTGATGGTTGGTGGATACTTGAGTTCTCTCCAATTTGAGATTATGAAAAGAACTGCTATGAATAATCTTACATGGGACTTTAGCTACATGTGCACTAGTAATTCCCTTGGACAAACATCTAGGAGAGGAATTGCTGGATTGAAAGATATGCACAACTTAAACATTCTAAGTGCCAAATGAATTCTACTATTTATATTGCCACCAGCTGGGAGTGAGGTTTCCCAGGCTCCAGATCCTCATCAACAATGGCGTTGTCACATATGGAAAGCTGCATCACATTGGTAGGCAGGAACTCTATGTCATGGTGTTTCAATTTATATTGATCTGATTACTTATCAGTTTAGCCAGAGATACTTTTATTGGTTATATATTTTATAAAAAATATTCTGCTGTTTTGTGCTTGTCTTTCTATTCTCTTTAGGTGTTCTTTGATAAACAGAAAAGTTTTAAATTAATATAGTAAAATTTATACGTATTTTTCTTTAAGATCTACAAATTTTTGATGTGACTATCTCACAAAAACACTCTTCCCTAACCTATGTCAAAATTGAGGATGTATTTATAACTTACCTGGAATTGATATATGTATAGATTCATAGAGAACCAATGTCTATTTTTTTCCACATGGATAGGCAATTGTCCCCAAACCATTCATTGAAGAGCCCATCCTTTCTCTACTAATCAGTGCCACTTTTAGAATTTATCAAGTGCTCTACCTTTCTCATCTCATTAGAATGTGTTTAGAATGGTGTCTTTTGTAGAATTCTTTAGAACTGCTGAGTCTTACAACTCATCAATGTGTTTTAACAGTTCCTATATCTCTATTCAGAACCCCAACTAAACATTATTACATATCTCCATTTCTCCTCCATGTGTCCTACATATTTTATATTCTCTTGTTTGTATTTCCCCAGTTTTAATTATCTGGCTTTAATCAATGATAATTCCTTTAGTTTTACCTTTCAGTGTGCAATTGTCTTGCTGCATCTACATCTAATCTGCTTTAAAATTCCATCCACTGAATTCTGTGGCTTTTTTTGCGGGGGGGCGTACTCAGGGGCTCTCGACCACTGAACCACATCCTCAGCCTTATTTTGTATTTGATTTAGAGACAGAGTCTCACTGAATTGCTTAGCACCTCACTTTTGCTGAGGCTGGCTTTGAGCTCATCATCCTACTGTCTCAGCCTCATGAGCCGCTTGAGTTATAGGCATGCAGCACTATGCCCAGCTCTCCTCCTTTTGAAAGTGTTATGTTGATTGCTTAGAAGTTCTCTGGTTCATTTTCAAATCTAGTTCTTTATTCACATTTACCAACCTTTTATTTCTTTAATTCTATTAAGCACTGTCAGTTTAATTCAGCATTTTATAATTTCAATATGTGACAATATTTCAGATCTGTTTTTCTTCATCTATGATTTCTGCTGGTTCTTAGCTATAGTACTTATTTCCTCTTTGGAGGCTTTTGTTTTGTTTTTATTCTTTTCCTAGTATTAGCAACTCACTTTCCAGAGCACTTTATCTGTGGAAATTATCTGAGGATATAATTAAAATCAATGTCTTCCAGGGAAAAACAGTATTCCCCAATCTCCTACTACCATTGCTAAAATTTTAAATTTACCATTTAAAAAATCTATTCATAGTGTAATTGGCACATTTCTCCTTTTCCTATGAGTTTTCTCAGTGATGTGATTAATAGTGTTTAAAAAATATTATTTACATACAGTTAGAAAATACTTAACCTGGTGTTTTAATAGTTTTATTCTGAAGTGTCATTCACAGTACTAATTTGCTCTAATGCTAGAATGAGAAATGTTAAACACATTTTGAGCCCACTTCCCCCCTATTTTCTTCCTTCCTATCTTCCTTTCTTTCTCCCCTTCCAGTACTGGGGATTGAACCAGTGGTACTCTACCACTGAGTTACATCCCCAGCCCTTTTTATTTTTTGAGACAGGGTTTCATTAAGTTGCTGAGGCTGCTTCAAGCTTGCCATCTTCCTGCCTCAACCCCCCAAGTAGCTAGGATTACAGATGTGTGGCATTGTGACCATCTTCCCTATATCTTTTTCTTAACCCAGAGTTGGCTAGCTATTATAAAAGAACTGTATGGGATTCAAGTTTACTTCTCTAAAGACAATATTTCTGGTTTACAAGCATTAACAGCAATGACAATTCTGGGGTCTACCCTTGAATTCTAGCAGAAATATAATTAAATGACTTCAACTGTTCACCAAGGTAGATTCCAGATTGTGGCAAGCCATTGAGACCCAAAGAAGTACAACACACCAGAAGCTAGATTTCCTACTGTTTGAAAATTCCTTTAGTTATTGGGATCCAACCCTGAAGCTCTGCCATATGAAAACTATGAAGAACTCCGAGGTCTGAAGCTTCATAAGGACAACTGTACACTCCCTACAGGAAGTTGTCCAGGTTCCCCCTTTTCTTGATGCTTTTATTTTACTTCTTGGATTACCCCTCAGACTCTGATTCTCACCATCATCCTTCCCCTTTCTTCTTTTCATGGTAATTTGTCTTCCACGTACCTTTTCCAATTTTGAACCACTTTCCATTTTTTTCTTTTTCCTGGTCATTCCTTGTTCTCCTTAAGACTAGTCTAGATTTATAAACTGCAGTAAGAATTCAAAAGGGAATTTCCTCCTACCTCCAGTTAAAGGGTTTACTACTCACACCAGGTTGCCAAAGGGTTACCTGAATTGGCCTTCCATCAGGTGTCAGCACCTCTTCTGAAAGTTCCATCATCTTCAAGGCCATCAGAGCAATGGGTTTGGCATGGCAGAGGCTTTTTCTGTGGAGTCCTGCTGCAACACAGTAGGCATCACCTATTGTTTCCACCTGCAGCAATCAGACAAATCAAATGCAAACGCTATGAAAATGAGCCAGAAGAGAAATGATTAGTTATCTGCAATCACAAATGTTGCTGAAAAATATGTCAGGCAAACATCAATAAATTAAGCAATTAGACAACTGAGTATAATCATAGCAGAGTTTGCAAACAGCCACAATCAAACACTGACATCTCACTCCAGCACTGCTCATTATCACCATAGATGATCACTAAAATTAGGAGCAACAGGAATATAAAATAATTATCCCCCACAAAAATACTGATTGTATTGTCAGTATTTTACCTAGACAATTTCCAATAATAATAACCTTTTCAAGAGCCAATCTCATCATCTTCAAATTTTCAATAGTCCTTCTCTGCAAAGCCTTGTTTTCCATTATTTCTACCTTCCCAATTGTTCGACACCTTTTCCTATATCTGTAGTTTGTTGTCAAGTCTGATCTTACTTATTCTTAAAAATTATAATGTCTAAAATTTCTTGAATTTATACTCCATACTATTAATTGTGTCACACAGTATAAACACATTCTCTCATTTTATTTTCAAAAATATCCTAAATGGAAGAAACTAGTAATAGTTATATTTAAGAGATAAGAAATTGAGATACAGAGATCCATCCATAACTCTATAATTAAATAGTTAACAGGTATTGTTAGGGACTTTTCTGGGCCCTATTTTAATTCTATTTTCAGTATATGTGATGATTTACCATTTTTGTTCTTAAATATTTAAAATATTTATCCTAGGTTAAACCCCCCAAATTTCCAAAGCATAGAACATGACACAAAAGTTAGAAATAACTTATTTTCAAAGTAAAGTTCTCTAATTATCCACTGAAGATTTGGTGGTAAAATGCTCAGTAGTTCTAATATTATTAATTAGACCAAAACGATAAATATTGTGTTAAGTGCCCAATATCACCTTTTCTGTGAAGCCCTCAATGGTCCCTTCATTAGTTCTTAGTAAGAGAACTAATCTTTATTTTGTTTCAACAGTACTTTCCATATATCCCTGCTGTGGCATTCATCATGGGCTACAGTCAATATCTATTCATATATAATCAATAAGTATACCCAGCTAAGTCTTGAGCTCTTTAAGGATGGTACCGTATCCTTTTCCTCCCTGTATTCATGATGCCTAGCATAGTGTTTAAAATATGGTTATTCGATAAATATCTATCAAATGAATAAGTAAGTAAATCAATCATGTTAACCATGATTAAAATACCAATCTAATTATTTACTTATTTTCACTATTAATTCTTGAGCACCATGTAGAACTCTGTTCCATGTGTATATGTATATGAAAAATACCCAGGGACTCAATGATATTTTTACCATGAATATAACAAAAATTACAAAATATCTATTAAGATTTAATATCAATCATTAGATTTCATGTGAATGCATCTAACTCTATATTATTAAAGATGAAGTACCTTAAACAATTTGAGCACTAACTTAACAAAATTATGAGAACACTTATAAAGCTCATGGGACTACAACTGACAAACTTATCATTTATTAGCAGAATATCATCACTTGATTTTTCAGAAAATATGTATAAAAATGATTAAATACCCTGAGACCCATCATGGCATTCAAAATTTTACCTGAAGACTTGTTTTCAAATGCTGGAAAAATAGAAATAAAATTATGCTCTAAGAGTAGAAAGACAATGTAACGTGAGTTGGCAAAGGCTTTTTTCCAAAGGTCACAGTATACTTCCCCCAAAGAATTCTCAATGAGGAAAAAACCTAGTAAATAATCAACAGCTAAAATGTGGCTATTTACCATTTTCTCCCAAATAACATGGTGTCCTTTGATATTCCTCATGTTATCCTATCCTTTTATCTTTATAAACAATTTTAAAATCTAGAATGCTGTTAGCTATCTACCTTGAAATTAACTTCTGATTTTCAGATATCAGAAGTCAGGGGCAATAAATTACTTGTACAAATTAAATTGCTTTGTAATCACTCTGAACATACATGTTCCTGGAACTTGATCTCTTCTTAGAATTTCTATTAGCATCCTCTTCCCCATCACCATTATCTTTCCAGCAAAAAAGCAATAGTTTCATTAAAAGGGTACTTCTAAAATTTACACCACAAGAATTCATAAAGATTACTAATGTGTTGCACTTTCTCCTTAGAATGATATAATGCAATAGAATGGAGAAGATGGATTAATGTGACCAGTTGCTATAACAATAATATTATTGTAAAATAAGTGAAAGATTGAAAGGCAAAATTTACATATAACAAATTCACATTAACATTTATACATGATTATTTGAACATTTTAAAAAATTTGAAGTCAGATCAGTAATCAGAAATAATAGGACAAGGAAGTTAGGTAAGAAATAGGATATTTTAAAAATGACACATAGTAGGATGTGGAATTCTCACAATAAATGTTTATAAATGCTATTTATAAACACCCAACATATAGGAAAAAAATCCTAAAAGACATTGATTTAATAGACTAATCTAAATTGTATTCCAGCAACCACATAAACTCCAAATATTTAAGCCTTAAGACAACAAAGATGTGTTAGTCAGGTTTTATTTGTTGTGACTGAGATACCTGACAAGAATAACTTAAAGGCGAAAAGTTTACTTTGGCCTCAATCCATGGTCAGCCAACTCCATTGCTTTGAACCTGATTTGAAGCAGAATATCACAACCTAAAGTGTGGAAAGGAAAACTGCTCAGCTTGAGTGAGCAAGGAGACTAAATGTAATCCCTAAGAGCATGCCCCCTTACTTCCTCCAGTCCTGCTCTATCAATCTACAGTTGCCACCAGTAATTTATTCAAATTATTAATCCATCAAATGGGTGAGTCCACTGATGAGGTTAAGCTCTCATAAACTAATCACTTCATCTATAAATATTGCCACATTGGATAACATGTTTCCAATACATGAGTTTTGGGGGGGATACTTCATATCCAAACCATAACAAAACGTTTATTTCTGATTCATGCTTAAACAGCCACACACAGGGTGACAGGGTGACACCTTGGGCCACATCATTCCAGTAATAAGGCTAATAGAAACTCCACATCTGGAACTGGTTGCCATGGCAGAGGGAAAAATGTTCTGACAATTTGTACAAGAGCTCTTAGGGCTTCCTCCCAGATGTGACACATTTGACTTCTCAAGATTCATTCACGAAGCAAGTCACACTGTTACACTTAATGTAAAGGGATGGGAAAATGTAAGCTGCCTTGTGTCCAGAAGAGTCAGAGATAATTGGTGAAAAGCACTAATGAGAACATGGATGGACAGGAGATCACGTACAAATTTTAAAATACCCAGGTGTCTGTAACCTGGAAATAACATTCCTATGTAATGTTTTTATTTCCTTCCAGATATATTTTTAACATCTTAACCTGAAAATCTTGGTGAGACACTACCACCTTAATAATACTGTTTTCCAGCTCTGTACAAATTTAGTTATAAGTGAATTTATGTGGAAATTTTAGTGGGTCTCCTTCAAAATAAGTATTTGACTTTGTTTCCTGAGGAAAGCATTATATATTAATTCCAATTGCTTCATAGGGTTATTTCCTTGAGCTAAACCAAAGTGAAAAAAGTAGACATGGTAAACAAACTACACAAAAACTGTTCAAAAAGTTGACTACATTCTGAGTTCCTTTATAATTGCCTTGTCTTTTTATAAGTTTTAAACACAACAGACATCATCTAAAATAGTGCATCTCATTTATTTTCAGCATCTCCAACCTGTTCTGGAATAATACTAGAACAGAATAAAGATGGCTAGACTAAGCGTAGAGATAGAATAATGCTTATGCAAATATATGACAAACATTTCATCCTTTTCTGAGCACAGACTAGGAAGCTTAAACAAGAAAATTATTGTGTACAAGTGCTGCCATGCTATTACTATAGCTGCTTTTATCAAACTTTAAAGAATTCACCTATTTTGGCATCTATGCTCAACACTTTTTAGTCAAAATCAGCACATTATTCCAGAAATAAAGGTGGTGTAAATAAATTTCTTAGAGCTATGCATTCACCTTTTGGTATACTTTATTTTAGTTTTAGATATTATAGTTTCAGTTAGATTCTTAGTCTCTATATTTTCTCTTTCCCTTCCAGGCTAATGTACAAGAAATAGCTGGAAAGTTTATAGCTCAGGACTTAGCCCTCTCTTTTTTTCAACTTTTCTTTCCCTATTCTGGTTCTATACCTTTCTTTATTTCTTTTGTGGGAGAACTGTAATTTTCTTATTTACATTTTAATTTTCTTATTTACATTTTTCTATCACTATCACAGTACTTATCGTATGTATGTGTGTGTGTGTGTGTTTGTGTGTAGGCATTTGTGTGTAGGCATTTGTGTTTATACTCTCCCCTGATATTTAACTTTTTATTCCTGGACCCTAGTACAGTGTGCCTAAAAGCATTTCAAAAAATGCTTTCAATTGTACCCAGTTTCTACAGTTGTGGGGGAGTAATGTCTGATATCTCCCAAGTAAGTGTCTCAATTGCTAAACTCAGGACCACCTGTGTAAGAATGAACTACAAGGTGCTTGTTAAAAATCAGGTCCCCTGGAGCTGCATGGCTTTACTAAATCAAAACCTAAGTTTAAGGCCAGCTATTTGCATTTTCACAAACTCCCAAGTATTTTTTGATTCACCAAATTTGAAGACTAGGTATATGATGTGAGTTAAAAACAGTACAATACTCCTCCAGATAGTCACCATTTTTAAAGCACCAATGGACTTTCAGAGAGAAGTGCTGTTACCCTGAGCCCTGTCCTTTCTAGTAGATTCCCTCTCTTTCACTCTATCCATACTCTATCCACAGAGGTAATAAGATTTCCTAGACATTTCCTTATTTGTCAGGACTACAGATTACAACTCCCAGCTCAAATACAAGCTCTCGTGTGTCCTCTCTCTCACACACACCAAATGCTGAGAATGATCTAAAACAGTAGATGTTCAGTGATCCAAAGTTT